TCGAACCATGCATGCCAAAATTAAATGGAAGACTGCTATGGAATTCTGAAGGAACGGATGCCTGTTTATTTAATAAGCAATCAATATTCCATTGCTTTATTTTTTGCTTCATTGAAAGACTTTCTTTGTTTTCATAAATCTTCATGAGGTCCTTTGATTTTACTCGAAGGTTCTTTTAGGACATATAGTTTATAATCTATATAAATTTCCCAAAGTCAGTTTCAATTTTGTTGGCCATATTCAGATGAACATATTGTGATCATTAATACACACTTTTTTTGCTTGCAGTATCGTATGACTAAAAAAATAATCCACTGTTTGCTGTTTTGTAGAAGTAGATTTCAGATTTTAATAATTTTATTCATGATGCAAGAAAACATGCACCAATTACAGTTAATTTATATCCTTGTTTATAAAAACAGAATGTGATTAATTGAGAACCATTCTTGGTTATGTTAAATGAAAGATGTTATGAGTTGAGTGTGATGTCACTCTTATCCATAATTGCTGCTAAATTCCACTACTTCGCAACAATTTTATGATCTGTGGGATAATATGTAAGTACTCTTACATGTACAACTTTTGTATTTAAGTATTCATGCAGATTAGGAATTTTTTTGCAGAAGGAAAAGAATTATAATTTACAAAAATATTATTATTAGATACATACATATTTTGTTTTAGTATTTATCTCAAAAATTGGTCAATAAACCTAATCAATGAGTTTTTTGTTCTGGTGGAAATTTCATTTTACCACAATTTCTTTTATTAAAGGCAAATTCTCTAAATATAAATTTTAAAATTGAGTTTAAGGCAAAAGATATCATTTTTTTTTTTTTTTTTGCATAAAAATCCATTGAAACATTGAATGTAACAAAAAGAATATATGGAAATGGCTGTATATTATTTGCCAAAATTTCCCCAAGATGTTTGTGCTAATTCATATACCTAAATGTTTTCTGGACTATTTGTATTAGGTGTCAAAAAATTTTAATCACTATATAGAATAATTCTAAGTATAAATTTAAGTTTTATGTATGTTTTAATAAAATGCGTCAACCGACCAAAATTGCCACATTCTAAAATTCTGTGCTGTTTGGTAAATTTCTTAAATTGGAGTCATGGGTTTATGGCCAATAATTCAGGAAATATTTAGCGATGCAGTCCATCTTAATTATCCTATATAATTTCTAATTAAAATTTTTGATTTGGAACTTAACATATTTTCTTAATCCATAAAATTTTCTCATACTTTTTTTTTTTTTTTAAATTGTGAACAGTTAATGAAAATTTCATTTTTGTATAATATATGCGACTTATAAAATTAAATTTCAGTTAGGAAATTATTGTGGGTTATTTGATCTCTTGAATGGAAATAATATCATTATTTTAATTTTGTGTGGTAAGGAATAGAAATATTGATATTTTAATTTCTAGCTATTCTGTAATTCATCACTGTTTAAGAATTATTTATATGGTTCCGGGATCCTTTCTGTAAGAGGACAATATGCACATAAAAGGTTTAGACACATATATGCAACAACTTGATATTTCCTGTAAGAAAATATACTTTCATGATCAGCTCATATAAGCTGCATTAAAATATTTGTTAATTTAGCTATTTTTGTCAGTAAAAAGTAAAATAGAATCATTGACAGTTCTTACTTTGGAATTAAAAGTATTATATGAGACTAAATGACATATTTAATTTAGCAATGGCTAAGAAGCAATACTGGCATATAGTATTTCTTTCTGTAGACCATTGCTTGATACATATTGTTCTATAATGGAAAAGATGCAGAGGCTGTAACATCTTGCCTTATTCGTTATATTATTTTTGTAACTCCTGCATCAAAAGTACAGTCTAAAATAAAAGGTAAGAAATGTATGCAATAAATTATGTGATTTTTATTACAATCTGATTATAATGAAATTTTGTATGTGAATACCTTTCACTCCAACATGCAACCAATTAAATTTTGTCAGCCTGTCTGCACTAATATGTCTCACCAATCTATTCATGCAGAGCATATGTTTCCAGTTGATATAGAGTATGTTATTGGCCTAAAAGAAATAGGATGTTCAGACAGAAGGATCACTTGACATTTAGGTTGGAGCAGTGCTATTATTTAATGATTTTGGTGGAAATAGTTGAACCTTGGCAAAGCACTAAAAAATAGTTGCCAATAAGGGATATGATAAAACTTGAGGACAGAGTGGCTCATGCAGTGATTGATCAATATAGCCCCGTTCACATGCAACACTCTTTCGCACAGTTATGGTTTGCATTAGGGGAAAACGGAGGATATGAAGCAGTTTTGCCTTCAGGACCGGTTCAGATGAACATCATCTTCCATCTCAACCTATAAGCCACTGCGAGCAATGAATGATGTCACAAACGTGAATCAGATTGACGGATTTCTAACGTTTACTTACATCTTTTTTGACATTGTTTACTATCGCTATAGAACGCCATCAGAGTTTAACTCTTTAATTAATTAAAATACACCAAAATTAATTTAAAATGCAATTTATATACGAGACGAAATAATTAAAAGAAGAAAAGAAACCGCATATGCTGCTGAGCGGTTTTAAATAAAATGTTTTTTAACTGCTAAAATTTCAAACTTTGCTTTTTGAAAACATGAATAAAATGACAAATTAATGGCATTAATATTAATTATAAATGTTTTAATATTGATTATAAATGTTTATGTAATGAAATTCAGTAATAAAATTTTAAAAGAAATTTGAAATGATTTAATGACTGTATAGACAGCTTATATTCTTTAAACTGCATTTCTCAGTTTGCATTTTTTTTGATAAATCCTTTTATTTAAAGTCCTAAAACTTGTATAGATATGGCCTAAATCATTTAATATTTTTACCACTTAATTAAAATTATATACTTTGTAGAAACAAGAATGGGTTTTGCAAAATACTGAAAAGAAAAATTATTTAGTCGAAATGTGATTGAAAACATATTTGTTTCAAAGTTTTTGCATAAAAACATGTTTTTATTTTTTTCTCAGAAACTAATTCATTAATTGCAAAGTCGATCCTTAAAGTTATTAAGGAATTTCTTAATAACTTAAAGGGATTAAGTTAAAATAAGTTAAAGTTATTAAAAAATTCCTTAATAACTTTAAGGATTTGTAAGAGAAGAATTGGACATTGTAAGAGAAAAATGACATTTTAATTTTTAAACTTTTCTTCCAAAACTAAAATTTAAAAACAAAAATACTGGCAAATTTTTTTTTTCTCAGCTTAAAATTATTTTGCCTTACAAAACCATTTAATAACATTCATCAAAGTAGATGAAAGTTCTTAAATAAAAAAATCATTCGAAGGGTACCATGTCCCCTTATCGAATTGAAGCCGATATGGATGTCTTTATTTTATTTTGAATAGTATTTCTGGAATACCCAGCATCAGATAACTTTGTACATATTTACAAATTTCTGTAGTTCGTATGGTTCTATGTAATTTTTTTGAGTGATATATCGCATCCTCAGATATCTACCAATGCGATTGTTTCTCTGACAGTCCAGTAAGCAGTTAGTTGTACATCAGCCATGTTGTTTATTAAAATAAAGGGTATTTTTCTGTTTTGCCGACGCAGGCGATAAAGCCGCCGATAATGATGCAACTGATGCCAAATGGAATATCCTCGCTGGTAACCTTTTACACCTCATTTTCAAAACAAGTTGCAGCCATTTCTTATCAGATTGATTGTTTCTTTCAATACTAGCATACTATTACATAGAATATTTACTAGATAGGTACAGTTTTATGCCCTAAGGCCATTCGTGCTAATAGAATGCAATCACACCACTTACCTTAAGGCGAAAATATAGAAAAGTCAAGGGTTAAATTCATCAGCGAAGTAAAGCACTGCAGTTTTGCATAATTTCTGAAGTTTTACATAAACTATTTGTACGAAATGAAATAATTCTTTCATGTAAACTTTTATTCCAAATTAAGATTTAACTTTAAATTAATGTAGATAATTACTTAGAGAATTAGATTTTTGTAGCGTTGTTTACGTAAGATGAGATTACTTGAAGTCCCGGGATATGAACCGGCGAATCAGGTTGTTGAACCACCAAAGCATAGTAAATTCATAAATTAATGTCTTGTCTTTATTTACTGGCTTTTTTTCAAAATTTAAAATAGTTTACGCCTTCAAAATAAAAAAATTCTTAGAACTAACATTTGTTAACATTTTTTATGTCTATACTGTATGTTGTCGCCAATAAAGTCTGCTTGGCGAGATTTGCGCCGGCGAATTGGAAAAGTACCAAATAAAGTGAATCGTGCAATCGCGCAGTACAGTATGGGAAATATCCCCATTTGCCCTGCTCCCGAGAGGTAGGAACATTCTACCAAATTCTACCTCCAATTTGGAGAAGCAGTTAGTGCTTGCAAATTAAAAAAAAATGGAAGGAATGGGACACGTTGGAAGATCTGGTTTTTGCTATCGGTTGAATTTGCTCTTGTGAACAGGACTTATCAGTGATCTGGCTGGTAACTGGGATACCAATAGCTACAAGAGTTATTAATTTGCAATTCAGAGAACGGGAATCTGGGCACATGACCCCCCATTGTCCTGGACTACCCTTCACTTGCACACGCTGACATGAGCATTGGTGCCACACTCTTTGATCTGAAATCTCATTAACTGAAGTAGAATTATCTTCATCAGTGGAAATAGTGCTGCTACATGACAACTACAGAGATTCATCCCATCCAAATAACTTCTTGGTTTGGCTGCTCTTTTTTGGGGGGGATGGGGGAGGGGATGATTCTTAAAATGTATGCTTACCTGAAATGAATCTTTTAAATACCATAGTTAGATGAAATTGACAATAGCTTTAGGAAATAAATATAGTAATCAGGGTGGAGAAAAATGAGTGCAGTTACTGGAGTAAATTTCTGAATTTTATTTCTTTATATATTGCCTGCATATGAAATTTTCTAATTCATCATTATATTTTTAGCTAAGCAGAATGCACAAGAAAGTTGTAATCTTCACATATGGGACATAAAGGGAGGAAGCTGTGTGAAATCTTTTATCCAGAAAAAGCAAGTTGGATGGTAAGTGTATTTAATAAATAATTTCATGTATTACACTGGCCAACAGATTCTTCAGAGTTATTTTCAATTTATTCATTCATGCTGATTTTAGGTATGCCATCAGAATTTTGCTATCTTCCATTTTTTAAAATTTGCATTACTTGCTAGAATGCTAGGCAAGTGAGATACTTCGTAAGAATATATAGGTATATTAAATTGCAGAAAAATTGTCTTTTTGAAGTCTTTTCATTTTTTGCCCATGCTTTATTTCGTGCTTCTAATTTAGTTGCACAAAACTGAGCTGTTATTCTGAACGTCAGAAACATTTTTTAGCAGCATCATAAACATATGATGCCAGCATGAAAGAAAACTTGTGAATTTCCTACAGAGATGCAGCATGAAAAATATATGTGGTGATTTAAAAATATTAACTTTTCTCATGGAAATTTTATATATTTTTTTTTTGTTTTGTTTGTGAATAGAACCACAGAGACGAAAAAAATATACCATTGTTAAACAAGCATCTCTTAAGGCAATATAATGACAAAACAAACATTTGCAGATCATAAAAAAATTACTTCCTTTTTAAAAATACATTAAGTTAAAACTTCTTAGCTGCTGCTATAGATGGATAAATAGAAATTAACTAGAATCTACACACATTAAAAACAAATTACCTAACAGAAATAATATAAATACCTAACAGATAGAATTGAATAATGTATTTTATGTATGAGACCAAAAGTTAAGAAGTTTCTGGATCAGAAACACGATTAGAAATTAAAATCCATTAAAAATGCAGGAGAGCAAATTCTAACAAATATTGTTTGTAAAAATTACCTTGGAAACTATAAGGCTAAAGGGCAATCCAAAAATAATGGATGATGTGTTGAAGTCAAAAAATTATGTTTCTTATTTTAGGTGATATACAGCTTTGATATATGTGTTCTTTAAATCATTTAAAAAATTTTTAATATGACCATAAAAATGAGATACTTACGTATTTGCATAACCGACTTAATATTTAGTGATCCAGAAAGTTTTGTGGTTTTTCAGATTGAAACACATTTTCATCCAGTTACTTTGTTAATGCTACTACGTTGCGACCTTGATTAAAGCAGATATGTAAATACGGTTCTTGCAGTTCGTATTGCATTATTCTAGTATGTGTTGTGGTGTAATTTTTGTTTTGGGTGCCATTGTTAAGAATGAAGAATCCAAAAGTTCATTTCCATCATATTATACTTTATTTTTAAAAAGTAAACAAAGAAAAGTCCTAGTCAAACTTGCTCATAAAATTTGTGCTGTATATCAACAAAATAGTGTTTCCCATGGTACAGTTCGAAAAAATTTCATCCTCGAAGATTACACATACTTTAAATGTCTATTCTGTGTGAACAAGGGCATTCAACTATTGTTGAAAATCCATGTTCTTCAAAGGAATTGTGTTTTATGAACTGTTGCCACCAAATCAGACAATAATTCTGGGAAAATGCTTTTCCAAATGACAGTTTTAAAAGCAGAAATCAAAACAAGTGCCCAGAACTTAACCAGTCGTCATTCATCATAACAATGCTCCGCTTTGCATAGTAATAAATGCTACACTTCCTGAGTATCGATGGAATGTTTTGTGTTACCTCGCCTTATATTCACTAGACCTTGTGTCCTCACTTTTTCATCTCTTTGGTTCACTTCAGAATTATTTGAATGGCTTGGAGTTCATTTGTTTGGAGACTGTCAAATACCACCTCAATAACTTATTTATGAATAAGCCTAGTGATGTTTTTTTTAACCCTTTGACGGTTATGGAAATGAGCAGTTTCCGTTTACTTAATTCGTGCAGCATTAGGAGTAAACAGTAGTCGAAAGTGGCAGCTGTTTTCCCCCGCCATTCTTCCGAAAATGTCACCTTTTTCTGGCGATGCCGTAGATAGCTCGCTTTGCGCGTTTTAAAAATTTTCTTTTCTTCGCGTGTTTTAAAAAGTATTTGTAGTACATAAATAACAGTTTTTACATACTTTAAAATAATTATTAAACAGTAAATTATAAATGATTATAACCAATTATATAAATAATAATAGTTAATTATAAATATAAGACAAATATTAAATTGAAAGGACTAATAAATAAATACAACTAATGTAAAACTTTATGAAGCACAGTTATAAATACAGTAATTACCTAAAAATATTTTTGTGTGTGATATACTAGTTTAAAACATGGAATTGCACATAATGGGGCATTACAGTCTTTGCAATAAGTACGTGTTTCATGGCGAATTCTTTTTCCATTAGGCATCATTTTTGCTGCAACATACCACACATCGTCTAGTAGGTTCTTTTCTTTTTTTTTTTTTCTGTAGGTGGAATATAATCAGGAAAGTGGCGTGGTTGACAATCTTAAAGTATTCGAAACTGTTTCAGCAGGTTTTGAATTTCAAATGTCTATGAGTGTGATATTTCTCAACAATTCTTTCAGCTAGTTCAATTCTGAATTCCAAATTGATTTTTTATTCCCTTTTTTTTTTTCCACAGCTGAAAAGCATTAAAAATTGTTATGTCCAATAAATAACGAAATATTTTCTTGTAATATTTTTCTTTGTCGAGATCGGGTTACATCATAGTATTCTTTGCTCTTAAATTTATTTAAATTTTCAGCAGCAAAAATGTTGGTTTCCATAACAATATGATTTATAATCTCATCAGTAAAAAACAGCTCAAAATACTCTAGTGGATCAGAAATATTTGTCACGCAAGCTTTCATGCCTACATCACCAGAAAAACTAAATCGGCTAGGAACGTGAGAACTTGAATCAATTATACACCACTGTCGAACATTCGAAAAATCTTCCTCATCGCTTGAATCGTCTTCTGAGCTTGAAATACTGTGAACAAAGTCTTCATCAGATTCAAAACTTGATAAGCTTTCTGTATCACAATCATAATCATCATCATAACTATCTAACTTTCGCTTTTGAGCCATTTTACTGCACAACACCCAAAAACCCTAAAAACCGCGCCAAAAAACGTATAAAATGAACAAGGTAAAAAAAAAAATCCACCTTCATTATGCAAAGAAATTCATGGAACTCGTACTGCTATCTGTAGACAGTAAAACTAACTAAATTCGTTTAATAATTCGTTTGAAACACAATCAGTGCAGAATAATAATGGCGAACGAAGTCAGCTCGTCAGCGCGCATTGGGGAAAAATTTCACTACGCGAGTAGTGCTCGTTACTAACCATTTCGGTCAAAATCTTTCTCCCGAGCGGAACTCGTTTGTGCGCATTATGAAGCATGATTCGATTGCGAGCTGAACTCGTTCATAACCATCAAAGGGTTAAAAAAAGAATTTTCCAGCTGCTTGAGAGATGACAAAACGTCATGGAACAAAATAGTGCATTATTGATTCTATGAAATTTTCTTCTTATGCTTTTGTGCTGCTTTATTTGTATTTATCATCATAAAATTGCTGAACTTTCAGAACTGCTGAACTTGATTGACCCAACAGAAGTCACTAAATGTAAAGATGTTGGACTTTTTAGCAGGGCTGGGGAGTCAGAGTCGGAGTCAGAATCGGAATTGGGCCAGATTTCGGGGTAAAAGGAGTTGGAGTTGGAGTTGCTAAAAACAGGTCGACTCTGACTCCAGTTTTTGTTGGACAGTTTGAATTTGAAATGAAATTAAAGTGAATTGAAAAACAAATTAATGACAAACTGAGTTATTATTTCTTAATGCACTATATACATTAATAGATAGTTATTTTCTATTTTATTCACATATTAATAAATAAATAAATATAAGGAAGGAGGATGGATGTGATATTTGCCATCAGTGACTAAACTGATTCATTTAGGTACAAATCTCCCTGGTAAACTTAGGTAAGCAGCAATAGCAGCAAGAACTCCCAAAGTTGATGCCAGAAAAGGAGCAATTATTGATCAAGCAACGTAATGAGGAAGTACATATTTGATGATATAGAGGTTGTTAGAATTCTAAGAAGTTTTTTAGAAGATGCACATAACTCTAATGTTTCACTAACAGAAAGATTGTAGAATGATCTTCCAGAATCAGAAACTTTTCTTTCTACACTGTACATAGCCACAAAAAAGCTACAATCTGAAAAATTAACAGGGGGTGAGAATGGAAGAATGTGATGTTTGTTCTTTCTGAAATGGAGGGTTTATTGCAGAAGGAATTATTTCTTCAATAAAGAAAAGAGAAACTAGTGGGCTAGACAATGAGATCTTGCTGGGTTCAATATATGTAGATCCAAAACACTGATTTTTTTGAATGACGAATGAATTAAGAAGGCAAAGAAAGCCATATATGAACTTTCAATAAGAATGAAATTCTTTTCAGAACATTTGGAGTATTCAAATCCAGAAAGTTTGACGGACAGACAAACTGCACACATTGCAACTTAGTCTCTATCATCCTCTTTCAGTGATGAATTAGTTCACAAATTAATGAAATCATCTACAAGCAGATATTTTGCAAAAAAAAAAAAAAAAAAAAAAAAAAAATGCATTGAAAAACAACTAATTAATTTCAACTCTTCCAATACTGAACCATATAATCAGGATTTTACTGTGCTTGAACTGAAAAGAGCTCTGTTGCAGACAAAAAATCCATGTCCTGGTCCAAATGATATTGCCTATCCTATGCTGAAACATCTTCCTTCCAAGTCATTGGCAACCATCCTCTTTCTCTTTAATAGAGTATGGAAGGAACAAGTCATTCCAAATGCCTGGAAAATAGCTTTTGTCATCCCCATTGTTAATCCGGGAAAAGACCCTACTAATCCGTCGAATTACCGTCCCATCGCCCTTACTAGCTGCCTCTGCAAACTCTGAAAAGATGGTCAACACTCATCTGGTTTATTATTTAGAGACAAATAATTGTATCTCCCCTTATCAGAACGGTTTTTAGAAAAGAAAGAGCAACTATCGATAATATCCTCCTACTCTTAGAAACAGGTATCCGTAGAGCGTTCGTTAGAAGAAATCATTATTTTCCATTTTT